TAGCTTTTTTTTTTTTTAATTTCTTGTATACAGATTACAAACATACCCTCAATTTATTTTGTGTTTTTCAATTTTTTTTTCTAACGTATCATGTTCACTAAGTCCATTAAAATTTCACTTCTTTTACTTATTTCCTTTAAGATGTGATTATAATATAGTGTCACACTACCTAATTCAATAGCACAAATAAATAGTATAATATGATTAAAAAATATTATCAATCTACATAATCAATAGAGCACAACAATAATTTATATAAGTTGATTGATATGATCCAAATAATATATCTAAGAGTGATAACTCCACTCTCTAGTATTGTCTAGATAATTGAACTTTTATAAGGTAATTCACTCATGAACATACAAAATTGTGGCTTATTATTATTAATTATTATTATTATTATTTATTATTATTATTATTATTATTATTATTATTATTATTATTATTATTATTTTTATTATTATTAATGAAACTAAATTGAGGCTTATATACCTGAATTGAGTAACTAAATGATGCAAGAAAATAGAAGCCTCCAGCCTAGCCAGATCATGCCCTGGGCACAGCCTTTGTCCACCTCCAAATGGACTGAAATTTGCACTGCTCACTTCCCTATCCTGTGCAATTAATTAATTATAATAAATGTTAAAATTTATTTTTCAAGCCTTAAACATAATTTCATAAATTATTAGAAAATAATTATATAAAACAACCCAATAAAATAAAAAAAAAATAAATAAATTAAATAAATCTTACTTGCCATCTCCATGGACTGAACTGGTAAGGTGAATCATAGACTTTGTCATCCAAATGCACTGATCTAAAATATGCAAAAACACACCAATCTTTTGGTATCAAAATCCCCTTTATTTCAACATCTTTTGTGGCTTTTCTCATAACCCCTGTGATTATATTGCCCATCCTTAGAGTCTCTGTAATGACCTGTGCCACATCACAAAATTAATAATTAATATGTGACTAAAAGTGTACATATTGGTACATTTTAATGAAATTTATGTATAAATAGTTAAATCAGTTTTACTAATATATTATATCAGTTTCGATATGGAGCCATCAGATGGCTCGACTTATGGAGTCATCTACACTTATTCACCAATAGTGTATTGACATGTGTCCTACAATAAATACAATTTAGACAAATGTCAATACATCAAGTGGTGGATGACTCCATAAAAAAAAAATTATCCGATGGCTTCGTAGAATTAAAAAAAAAATATGAAAAACTTACTTTTTGTGTAAAGGGCAAGGATAAGTAGTCATTCCAAGACAATGGCTCCCCATGATTGTTCTCATTGAGTATCTTTAACTTAAGATTTTCCTCCTAATATATGAGTGATAATTAGTTAATTTTGGCATCAAATTAAGCACAACATAATAGGTAATTGATAACAAAATCAATTAAGTATACTGTTAGTCAGACATAATGGGTAGGTAATCATACTTTTCCAATACTTATTCAACGAAATTGCGTACTTTCAAAATGAAATGTCACACTCTAAAAAAAAAAAATAACACAGATGAAAATATGACATTTCTTAAGTACGCATATTTGTGACGAAGATAGGAAAGGTTGACCGTCTAATAGTTAGACGGTCTCACATAAGAATTTGTACAGTAACAAAATAATAAGACTATTGTTATGTTGTTTCAACATACATATATATACTTGCAGGATAAAATGTTATACTCAAAAAACAACATAAATAGAAGATGACAGTTGATAATAAAAATATGTATTTTTATCACAAATGTCTGACGAATCGACTCTCTATTGCCTAATAGTTAAAGTCGCATCACTCAAGAATTTAACGATATATATATACTTACTAAAATGAAATGTTATACTCTAAAAACAGCATAAATAAAAGTACGACATTTCATAAAAAAAAAATATTCATTTAATTACAAATAATATATGACGAATCGACTTGTTGTTGCCTAATGGTTAGTCGCATCACACAAGAAAGAATTTATAATACTTAATTAAATGCACATAATTAAAGTACTTACTGTTAATTGCTTGAGAGCAGCAGGAGAATCTGAGAGGTATTTAATTGCAAGAGTCACTAAAACAGGAACTGAATCTTCACCAGGAATCATTAAATCAATCATATTTTCTGCTATTAGTTCATCTGTAAGCAGCCCACTATTATCATTCATCAGTGAATCTATAACGTCTCTTGCCAAATTTGCCCCTTGAATTTTTTTTTGGTCCCTTTTGGATTGAATAATTTCATCAATTACCTTTATTATTTTCCTTTTTGCCAAAAAAAAAAAAATTTAAAAAAAAAAAAAAATAAATCAAAAGTTAAGAAAATTGGTATTATTAGTTATTGCTAGTATTCTGTAATTAATTTTTTAAAAATATAATTAAGCAATTAAAGTAAAAATTTTAAAAATAAGTTCCCTTTTTTATTTATAATTATGTCCAGTCGACCTTATCACTACTTAAGAGTTAGAAAATTATTAAATTCCAACGACAATATATTACAAAAGCATTTCAAACAGAACATTTTTGTTAGGATTGGTCTTCCATTAAAATTTTTATTGAATTTTGACGATCCTGACTATAAATCGTATATTCCAACGTAAACTACTATAGTAATAAATTATTGGGAAAAGTGTTGCTTGAATAGATAAATCTCAAATAATATTCCAACGAAACTTTTAATATTGAAATATCCAAATAAATTTATATTGAAACATTTTTTTTTATCAAAATTTATGTTGAATTTTGATATTGGTTTTATAGTACCTAATAACTGTCTTAAGCAACATTTTAAATTATTAAATGGGTGATTAGTTTCCTTTTATATCTAATTATTTTGAACTTTCACATGTAAATGAAAACTTTGAAATATCTTTACTTAAAGATTAACACTTGTAATTTCAATTCATCTCACCCAAAGTAAAAAATAATGGGCTAGTGAATGTAAAAATTTTACTACAAGAAAGAAAAAAGAGATTATAACTACGGAAGATGCTATAGTCATGTTACGGTACCATCCAGTCGAGTGTTTTAACCGTTGGATCATCAATCTTATTCAATTACATGTGAATTCAACGGTTACAACACTCGACGGGATGATACGTAACGGGATAGCAACATTTCCCGATAACTAATAGGGCAACTAAAAACTTACCTGTAAAGATCGGTAAAGCTGAGTGCCAGGTAAATTTATTGGCAAAGACATTAGGCCCGCGATAAATTCTTGAAAATGCTTCTTTAGCAGCTCCATTTCATCACCACATTCCACACTAATCAATGCTTTTACCAGCACTTTAAATCCAATCTAAAATATCAATATAAAAACATTTAAAAAAAAAATGTTAATCTTTTTTTTTTTGGTACAAAAAAAATGTTTATCTTTCACTTTATACTATTCATTACTAGACATAATTGTGGTTAATTAAGGTCTTAATCTTTTATTCATAAAATTAATTATCCATGCCATTTATAATCTCCCCTATATATTAATACAGAATGCGCTGAGCCTACGTGGCTGTTTCTGGTGTTTCGGAATCCTATGTGGCAAAATTACATGCTTCGTTATTAGGCTTGGGTAAATTTTAATTTAATTCCAAACCAAAAATAATTAGGTTCAGATTATCATAAATATGTTGATTATTTATGGCCATGTTACATGTATTAATTGTATTTTAATATCTCCCCCTATTATAACTATTGAATTGTATATATATTTTAAAAGTTAATAACTTTTGTATTTTTTATCAGTTTTACATATGTAATATATCAAATTAATCTTCTTTTGATAAGCTTCGATTTAACATCCATATTGTATGTATAAAAAAAATAATTTATATTTATCTTTATAACAATAATAAAATTATTTTTAATATTAATTAGAGAAATAAAATTATTTATCAACTAATATATTTATATTTCAAGTAGTTATATGATATAAGTTATAAAAACTAATATAATATAACAGATGTAAGTTATAAGTAACACATATCATCCTAAAATATATAGTAATATATTTTTTTTGTAAAAGAGTAATCTAAATTTAATATAATTTTTTCATTAATTTAAAAATTTAAGAATAATTTTTTAACAAACACCCGTGTAATACACGGGTATTGTACTAGTACATATAATATATATCATTAAGGCGGCTACTGTTAGGCAAATCATCATATTTTCTTAAATTCATTCAAACTGAAATGTTATATTAAAAAAAAAAAAACAACAACAATAACACGACATTTTATACAATAAATATACATATTTTGTAATGTATATAGCGAGTCGATCCGTTTAACAGTTAGATTGCCGAAAAATCAAATAATTGAAGAAAAAGAAAGGAAAGTGGCAATCTCAAAATCTCACTAACCCACACCCACACACACACACCAAAAAATTAAATTTGTAACATTAAAAATTAAATCTTTTTTTTTTTAATATCAAAATTATATGAATTTAAGATCATTATAAAACAACAACAACAACACTTTAGAATATTTACAACAAAAAATTTAAATAAATAAAACTCTACTTACATTCTTTGCTTCATCTTGAATGTACACTGGACAGTCTTCCCTCCAATTTTCCATAGACTCAGTCACATACTTTTGCATATCAGCTGTGATCTGAGCTTTTAAAAATGGAGACTTAAGAAAATTCCCAATCAATCCATGGATTCGCCTCTGCAAAGCTCCGTTAACGACCAAAATCGAGTTTTTTCCCATCAACTCCATTAGCGATTTCGGGTACGAAGGCACGAATTTCGTCGAGTCGCTCTGTAGAACAACTCTGTTCACCTCTGCATCAGTTGATACTATTGTTGGGCTCCCAAATAAATGTGACTTGAAAACATCTCCATACCTTAAATAATACAAAAAAAAGATGTTAACAATAATAAAAATTCAAAATAAATAAAGAAAATAAAAAACGAATACTCACATTCGACGACGTTTGTTCGTGAAGCGTTCGGGTCGATCGGAATACGCGCAAGAAACGAAGTGAATAGTTTCGCCGACGAAAGGGCGAATGCCGAAGCTCCCAAGAGGGATTTTTGATGGTTTTTTGGTGTGGTTATTAAAGAGCTTCCATTGAAGAAGAATGGCTGAAAAGCATAGTGTTGTAAAAGAAGTTGTGACTAGTAACAGAGTCCAAAGAGAGTCCATTATTTTGTGTTTGCTGAAAATAGTTTCTAATGTTTTTTTGTGGGTTTTTCTTTTTATCCTTTTCTTGTTAGTTTCCTCCACTAAATGAAGAGACTAATTTGCTAGTTGTAATTGGTATCTTTGAGTGTGGTGTGTGTGTATATATATTGTGATTGTTGATAATGAGCATATGTTAATTGTTATTTTTGTTTGATATGCATATTGAAGTTTTTCAACAGATATGAAATGTAACTGCATGAGAGAGAGAGAGAGAGAGAGAGAGAGAGAGAGAGAGAGAGAGAGAGAGAGAGAGAGAGAGAGAGAGAGAGAGAGAGAGATTGATTGAAAATATGTGGGCTTCATTGTTTTATCAGTTTTGCTATGGAGCCATCGAATGACTCGACTTATGGAGTCATCCACACTTATTCACCAACAGTATTGACATGTGTTCTACAATAAATACATTTTGAACATGTGTCAATACATTAAGTGGTAGATGACTCTATAAAAAAACCATATGATGGCTTCATAGAATTTTTTATTGTTTTATAGTATCAATTAGTGATGTACGGCTTATGGAACTATCCACAATCATTCATAAATAGTGTGTTGACATGTAACTAGTAATTTAGAAATTGCATCAAATGGCTTTAGGATTCTAATAGATCATGTCAACTTTTACATCACATTGAAAATTTTCTTAAGTATGATTTATAATTGTCAAAGTAACATATATCAAATCTAAGAAAATTCATTATGAGTGTAAGTCCCAATAGGTCTTATATGATTTATTTGTTACATTTGAGAAACATTGCATAATGTCACGAACACGTATAGTTATGGGAAAATACTACGATCTCGTTATGGAACCATTCTGTCGGAATTTGTAATTGCTACATCGTCATGTAATTGTCGGGAATAGTTGATATATCAATTACAAACTCGAATAAATGATTCCGTAATGTGATCGTAGCATCCCTGATAATTCTGATTATCACCTTTTATGTAATATATAACATTAATTGTATATGTCAATTTGCTTTTATCTTGATTGAAATGATGAAAGAGTTTATTAACCAAAATAAAATATATATATATTCTTAACAAAAGAAAAGATCATAATTGATTGTAAAATGTCCCTACGGCCATGATTGAGCGGTGGGTACAAGACACGCCCTATATACATAAATAGCTCACTGTGACCACACATAATATAAATAAAATCCATTATTATTTATTTAACAATAACACAAATCTTACCAAAAAAATTTATTCGTAACCAATATTTATTTACAAATATTAGTATATTACAATTACATTTGAGATATAACTCCTTGCAACATAATTAAATTATAAAAAATTGCTTACAACGTTAAAATTTTCCCACAAGAAATATGGTAAAATCTCATAATTCGTAACCACTATTAATATATATATATATATATATATATATATTTTTGTGTTTATTAATTTTCTCATATATTAATAATATCAATAAGAGATACAATTATAGTGTATACATTTTTAGGCAAATTAATTATATATTCATAAAGTGGAAATAAAAAACAATAAGTACTGCAAAACTCATTTAAAAATCCCCACGTACAAAAACCATAACAATATTCAAAAGCAATTGCTTGAATTTTTTTTTTTATTTATTTATTTTTATTTTTTTGTGTTTTTAAATAGTTTATTGTTTCCTTGGTCAAATTGTTATTCTAGGAATGCACGCATGCTCTCATGTGGCTTGGACGGCTACCTCTCTTTAACAAGAATTTTTTATTTTATGGTCTTTCATATTAGTCATTATAGTTATATAATATATGGTCTCCATTCTTGTGGAAAAAGCAAGGCTACTAAATCTAAATTAAATTAGTAATTATATAATTATATGTAGCCATAAGAAATTGTAAAGATCAAATAAAGAAGAAAGCAATTATTGATTAGTAACTTGGTAAAACTAAACAATTCTCTTCCTTTTTCTTTTAGTATGTTGGCACTAAAAAGATTAATTGGAACGAAAAATTACAATTGTGATATATTATTAGAACCGGAAAAAGAGAGTGCGGTCCCGTCAGGTGAAGCGCAACATAAAAGGGTGAGTCTAAGTGCACCTTACTGAGGTTCCATCCCAAAACCAATTAGTGATGGGATGTGGGACAAGTCAGAAGTGCCCTTAGCAGGCCGTTAGAGATACAGAGTCCGAGCACATAGCAGGCCAGGTAGAGAGAGTCATTGCAGGTCTTAGGACCGGCCTGCTCTGATACCATATTAGAACTAGGAAAGAGAGTGCGGTCTTACCAAGTAGAGAGAGTCATTGCAGGTCCTAAGACGGACCCACTTTGATACCATATTATAACTGGGGAAAGAGAGTGCGGTCTCACCAGTTGAACCGCACCATAAGAGGATGAGCCTAAGTGCACCTTAGTGAGGTTCCTTCTCAAAACCAATTGGTGATGGGAATAACCACTAGGCTTATAAAATAGGTTCATTTACCCTACAGAGTTATTGTGAGACAATTTATAAGTGATATTTCAACATATATTTAACTGTTATTCTAACTAATATTTCGATATTATATTTTTTAATTGAATTTTTCGATGGAATATCCACATAATAAAATTATATAACCCCAAAAGTATGGAAGAAAACACCCTTTACCATTTTTTTTTTTTTTAAAAAAAACATTTTATCCCATATTCTTGATTCTTTCACTTTTTTTTTTGGTACAAAAAAGGAAGGCAAAGCCTAACGACGTGGATAAGCCACGCCGACAATATCATGCAACAGCCATTGCCCGAGCTCCGTGGGCGGGTCCAGAAGTCGATGATGGCCCACTGGGACATCAACAGCAAGCGTCGCTAACGTATCAGCCGCGAAATTCCCTTCCCTATGAACATGGGATAGATGAACCACCCATTCCTGCTTTACGAAATCCCGAATGGCCTGAATAATATGACCGTGGGCCCCTACGATCTCTTCGTCACCCTGAACCATAGTAACCACACTAAGACTGTCCACTTCTACGAGAACCTGTCTCGCACCTAACTCCCATGCTAAATGAAGCCCTTGAAAAAGTCCCCATAGTTCGGCAGCCGTGATGGTGCAACATCCCACATTCATTATAAAATCACCCAACCAAGCTCCGCGAACGTCCCTAGCGAGGCCTCCGGCACAGCCTCGTCCCGAAGCGGAACAAAACGCCCCATTCGTGTTAATTTTAATCCACCCGGGTGGAGGAGCTGTCCAGTGTATCATGACCGACTCATAGCGCCGAGCTCGAACACCCAGTACGGCTTCACACGAAGTGGCATCCCGGAATTGCGCCACACGTCGACGGACATCCTGAACCTTCACCTCCAATGAAACGTCCTTGTGCGAGAAAATGCCCATATTTCTCCAAAACCAAATCCTCCAACATGTGATGGCAAAAATTGTCGCCCAGCCGTCCATCCCATCATCGCCCGAACCAGAAAGATTCGACCAAATCCACGATCGTAACTCCGACGAGAAAAATTCCTCACGATACGGGCGTGGCAACAGGCGGTCCCAGATGCTGCGCGCTTTGGGGCAGTCACGTAACACATGAATTGTCGACTCCAGCTGACCACAACCCGCGCAACCGTCATCATCTGTCAAGTGACGTCTCCACCGCTCACCGTTCGTGAATAAGCGGTTCCGGACCGCGATCCACAGAAAATGCCGTACCCGTTGTGCCGCCGGGGCCCGCCACACTGCCTTCCATATCGGTTGAACAGTTTTCGATGTGGGCGAAGTCAAAGCCAAGTATGCCGATCGTGTGGTAAACAAACCATGCGGCGTATAACTCCAGGCCACCCGATCAGATCCCGCCGAGTGCTGAGGGGGTAATGTCGTCAAAGGCCAAAGGCCAAATGATTGATCGGTATGTAATATGCAAATTTTCTCTTTTAAAAAATCTTCTCAGTATATAATCAAATATAGTGATTATGGTACTGTGTTCAAAATTTTCAATTATAATAAAATAAAACAAAATAAATGTCATTGAACTATATACAAAAACATTAGCAAATTTGCGAATTTATGTATAACCAAATAATATGGTGATTAATGTTACAATATTGGTACTTGTTTAGTGTTCAGATTTTTTTCATATAAAAAATAATAAAATAAAATGTCCTTAAATTTAATTAAATATAAAAAAACATAAATATATTGGTTTAGGAAATCATGATAAAAGCAAATCCATGGTTCATGTGTAACGACCTAATCTTTGACTGTTGGTGCAGCTAACGAATAATAAATAAAATCTTGCAAGTGCATCATACCACGTTCGCTTTGCAATATTCAATAATTTGGGGGGTCAAATTTTCAATATTAATGTCCATGCCTCAACCTCCCTTTTTGCCTTCTTTTGTTTGAACTCTTCCCACTAAATATTTTATATACTGTGTGTGTGTGTGTGTGTGTGGGTGTGTGTGTGTGTGTGTGTGTGAGTTCGAATTTGGCACTTTATGCACAAACCCATCATTTGTTACCAAAAACTCCTTCAAAGAAAGCTTCAATCATTTGCCCAATTGGGACCAAAATCTTAGCTTAGGAATCTTGAGAGTTATATATTATATTTATTTTTTTTGGATATGATATATTATAGAAAGATTTTATGGTACCGTTACGAAACTATTCTGTCGAGATTTGTAACCGTTAGATCAATTATTCATGACAGTTACATGATCATCTAACGGTTACAAATCTCGACGCAATGGTTCCGTTACGGTAGCATTTCCCTATATTTTAAGGTAATTGAGGTGATAATTTGAAGTTGTGGGCTTTATTTTGTTAGTTTGTTGCAGGCTTGGCATGTCTCTATTGAGACTCGTATTCATCCCATTTGCCCATGTGAATCAATCTTTTTTTTTTTTTTTTTATAAAATTTGTTTTCTTGATATTATGCCCATGTCTTTAAGATTTTGCAGACTTGATTTGTATTGATAGCTTATCTTATAGTATTGAATATCACTTGTTATATTGTATATTAAAAATATGATATTTGATTGAGTATGTATATTTGTTGTAACAATAATAAGACTGCCTAATCATTCAGTGGCCTAACACAAGACCTACCGATAAAATGAAAAATTCTCAGTAGATTAATAAATTTTTTAGTTCGATTCAATATATGTTATCTTTGTCCAAGTTACCCGTATCGGTGCAGAAAATGCTTGGTTTTCAGTTCTTTTGGTTCATTCTTTCTCCTCAGATTTCGATTTATTAGTCTAGATTAGGGGTGCAAATGAACCGAGCCGCTCACGAATGCTCAAGCCAAAGCTCGGCTCGAGCTCGAGTTTCACCGAATTCGAACCGAGCTCGAGCAGCTCAAGCATGTTATCGAGTCGATCTCGAGCATTGGTTTTGGAAGGTCGACCGGTTCGCGAGCTGCTCGAGATATACAGTGAATTACTAAAATACCCCTTATATATAAATATTGCAATATTTTATGTATGTACTAATGGTAACTTTACTTGAATTTCAAGCCGAGCTCAAGCAATCTGTCGTGCATTTGGATTTCAATCGATCTCGAGCGTCATAAATCGGGCTCGAGCAGGTAAAAAGATAAATATATCTTGTCTGATAAAGTCAACACTCGGCTCGACTCGACTCGTTTACCGCTCTAGTCTGGAGGAGACCATCACAGACCTTCTCAAGGCTCGAGAAATACTACGTGAACCATTAAACATGTAAAACTGTAACTTGATATGCTTGCAAGTAACAAGAGATGATTTCCAGACTAGAGCAGAAGTGAATCTGATAGAAACCCGTAATGAATTCAATGACATTATTAAATTTTATGCGTGTAATAGGATTTAGTATAATACATAATGTACACATAAAATTAGTATAGATAGTGTAAGAAAATGGACTCGATAGATAATTGAGATAGATTCCCAAGCAAACAAAGCTTCATTCCAAAATCCAAGATACAAGAGGGCAATAGTTTCATCACCATATTTGCAACAGGTACCCTAGAAAAAGGTAGGAAGAAAAAAAAAAAAAAAACTGTCGGGTTCTTTCCAAAATTAATAAAAATCGGTCATTTCGAAAATCACAGGCTTGGAACCGACTTGGCTCGAATAAACTGTTTGAGAATGGCTTTCTCTTCATCGATCCGTTTTTTCTCTTCAGCATCTCTCGGTTTCACTTTCCTCTTCTCTTCCAGCATCCATTTGAACAGCTCGCGCTGCCGATCCTCTGGAACGGGTGCACGCGCAACGAGCTCAGTGATTGGTTGCCTGACTGGCTTTTCGCTGACTGGGGCTGTGGAAGTTGTAGTCGAGATGGTGGGACCCTCTGGGGTTTCTTCCTCTGATGTGTCCTTACCTTTCGTCCGCATCCTTATGAGAACATAAGCTGCCCAAAGTGCATTATTCATTACAAGATTTATTGATAACATGAAATAGAAAGAAGACAGTGGGAAGGTGAGGATAATTCAATTATAAAAAGGAACTAAACCAAGAAACGTAAAGAGAACATGTGTTGAATAAAATCTCGAAAATTAGTGCAGTTGAGTATGGAAAAGTTTCTAATAGAGAATACGCTAATGAAAAAACTCAAATTAAGTGTTGCCTCACTGTGGTTTGAATTTCAAGCATCAATTCAAAAATAATAATCTATAGAACAATAAATCCATAAAATGCTAAGCTGAGAATTTTCTGAAAAAACTGAAATCAAAAGCATTATCTGAAGAACCTTTCTTTGGAGTGGAAAGAAAAATGCAAAGCCGGAACCAGAGAAACAGAGAGGATAAACTTTGTTTTGCTAGCGACAATTTTGTTAGTAGTTGCATCATCACAAGCTAGCATAACTTCCATCGAGCAATAAAATAATTACGAAGCAAGGGCTCAAAATAGAAAGAAGATAAATACATAGCAAGTAAAAATTATCAAATCAACAGAGATGCTGATACTAAAGTCCATCCTCAAAACCCTTAAGAAAACACATTGAATCTGTCAACAAGTCCATATGAAGCATTTTATAATGACAAGAGACAGAAGACATGGCATTTTACGCTGCTACTGTTACAAAACACAAGCAGGGTGTTGTAGTCCTATTCAAACACAACTAAATGCAAATTTTAGAAGATGCTGTAAGGTACATTTTGACTCTCCAGATGCAAATCTTTTTCTACGGGGATAAATAGGATTGTCTTACTCACTGCAAGTGAGCAATGTAAAGATATTTGATTAGATAACACGAGTATAGCATATCCTTTCACCTTCTAAATGAAAAGAATAATCATTATCATGTCGTGTATGCAGAGATGTATTCCCCATCAAGGAGAAAGAATATCACTATATCAGTAGCTCTAAGATGGAGACATACCACATTCATTCCGAACAAAAAAGAGAAACCTCAGGGATTAGATAGGATATACCAATTTAAGATAGAGATAACTCACATTCATTTTGTAAAAATTTTTAATGTAAACAACCTCTGCATTAGGTCCATATAACTCACAACTTGAAGGAAGAGAATGGATAATAGTGATTGAACAGAATACAAGCAGATTTTAGACTGTCCATATAATTGTTAGACGATCAGGTATCCGCAATGATTCGCTTTCATTTCGAATATCCCCAGTTCCAGACAAGCTACAGTGCAAAATTCAGCATACAATTACATAACCCTAAACAAAGCCAGCAACAGAAATTTCAAGAAAAAAACAAACAAGTAACAAATACCTCCGATTGTGAAGTTGACAAACAACAGCATCGGCCAGAGAAACCTGTAGCGCCGAATAAACGACTCTTTCTTCGGCCGGGGATCAAATGGCGGCGGCGGCGGTGGAGGAGGAGGAACCGCCGCCTCCGCAGCTGTAGCTGACGAAGCCGGCGCCATTGTGATCGGCGTAGATGCCTTCAGCTTCGCTGTTATAGACAAAATATCGACGGCAACAATCAGATTACAGTAACAAAATTCTGATTAAATAGTTCGATAATTTTTGGCAATTGAACATTTTTTCGGCTTGTTCGCGAATAGCTTTGGTCCTTCCCCGCTCATTGTTGAATCTTCTCCTTCTTCTTCTTCTTCTTCTTCTTCTTCTTCTTCTTCTCCTTCTTCTTAGACTGTTTATAATTTTTATCTGGATTTCTTCAGGTGTATGTATTGTGTGTAAGTCGCCTACGATTTTCATTTCAACTTTTTGGTGTTTGTTTCAATTATATTCCTTTCGTGGGTTTTGGGATGGTTTTTTTTAGGGATGAAAACGGTGCGGTGCGGTGCGGATAATGCCTTTCCCACATCCTAATCCATTTTATTTTTGCGGATTTGGAGCGGAGCGGATATTGGGCGGATACGGATGTGGATGCGGATTGTTTCGGATATCAGAGATGGTACGGATTCGAAGCGGAAGCGGATCGGATGCGGATTTATATAGTCGGATAATACATGCTTCTACTCAACTCTTTATGACGAATAATAATTAATAAAGCAAAGTTGCAAGAAAAATTAAAAAGAACACAAAACATTGAGTTCCTTAGGTACTTAGCTAACGAGGCGAGCCAAGTACATAGCTAGTTCACAACTAGCTAAGCTAAACCATTAATAATTAAGCAATACACCCGCTATACAAAATCATAGCCTAATAGTCATAGGTCCGAGCTATATATAGATGCATCATGCATGCAGTGATGCAGATATATAGATCTCTTCTGGGTAGGGATTTGTATCAACTATCCAGTGGGGATCGACATATACATGATCTACACCAAGGCCCCAAAAGATCCATACAGCCACGATGGTCCATAGATGCTAGAAAGATCACGATGATGCCATCGATCTTCTAGGAGATAACTCATTCGTTCACCAACAAAACGATTCGTACATGTGCGGTGTGCCGGCCTGGAGTGAGGCTGGCTGTAGAAAGTCGGAACTGGAAGAACAATTACAAGATTGGGTAAAAAAATAGTAAAATGCAATACAATACCTAGTGCTGACTTGTTGTGTCGAAGAAAACAGTAGCACGCACGAGAGTAGCGGCGGTCGGGGAACGAAGATGCAAATAGATGTCGCTGACAGCGACCTGCATGCGAGATGATTGTGGAACCAGCCGCCGTATCCTTAGCTTTTAGGGTGTCTGCCGATGAGTAATTTTATATGGTTTGTGTGGGCTAGTTGGACCGGGATTATATTATTTAGGGCTATGTAAAATAATCGGATATCCTCTTATAAAGGTCGGATAATCCACTTTAAATTGTCGGATAATCCATATCCACCGGATATTGCCAATACCATATCCTCCTCCATATCCGCAACAATCGGATGCGGATTATCCATATCCTCATGGATATCTAAAACCTTAATCCATATCCTCGTAACGCGGATTCTGATCGGATCGGATGCGGAAATTATCCACCCCGCTTTCACCCCTAGTTTTTTTACAACGACACGGCGTCGTGTATAGTGCACCACTATATTACCCTTGTATGATGCTTCGTACAAACTAGGGTTTGCGACCGAGGCGAGCCGAGCATTAACCTTATCGAGCATGATAGAGTTTTTTTAGTTGCTCGAGCTACTCGAGCTCGATTTTTTAAGCTCGAGCTCGACTCGATAAAAATTACAATAGCTCGAGTTCGATTCGAAATCAAAATGTTCAAGCTCGTCTCGAAAATTTTTAAGTGGAAAGGTAAAATTACCGTTAAGCACCTATACTAATATATATAATACGAGCCGCTTGACAAGACAAAATATGAGCTCGAACTTGACTCGAGTTCAATCAAACTTGAGCTCGAGTCGAGCTTTGACTCGAGCGCTCGCGAGCCGCTCGATTCGTTTGAAGCCCTAATACAAACCAATAGCCATGGTGGATTCACTTAAGTTAAAACACATTAAATTTATATTGTTTTTAATGTATGATGTGTATGTCAATTTATTAAAAAATACCAACCTAGTGAGTGGATTCGTCCCTGTCCAAGTTGAATGAAAAATGTACAACGACTGAATTTGAAATCAAATTATGGTTATACTATCATCCGTGCCAAGTTTTTTCTTTCATAAAATTATCGGCCAATTTACTTATATGGTTTTACTATAAATTAAATTGTGGCAATTAATTGACTGGAAAATGACAGTGCCAACACATCTTTAATTGGCATAAAATACGGTAATACTAACAACGATGAACAAGAAGTGAAATAAGAACTGAAATAGCTTCATCTTAGCTCTCCTTAACACGAAAAGTTTTCCAAATAATGTTACACAAGGAAGACCGAGTTGTTTACAGGCTTAATATCATGCAAACAGATGAGTCTTCTTGAACGACCTAAAAAAAATAGCAACTGGACGAGCTCATGACTTTATCAGCATTCTTCCTCAGTTCCATGAACGGCCACTACTGCTGCCATAACCTCGTCCACGATCTCTACCACCAAAGGCTGTATTAATCACGAGATAGGAAACATACAGTTAAGGGCCAATAGTATTACTCAAAGTTAACGCACGAACAAAGGTTGTGTGGCCCCCATATTTTCATTAATATTTGAGCTGGAGAAAGCTCGCACGGGATTTGGCGAAGGATCTAGCATATTAGGCTACGTTTGGTAAACCCAGTTGATAAGCTAGTTTACATAGCTGATAGCTTCTGATTTATGGTTGAAAAACTAGCTTATATCATAAAAATGTGTTGTAAAATTGGCTGATAAACTAGCTGAAATAAAAAATTCAATGGTCTTATTTGAAAAGCTACCCAAAAGCTCGTCCTTATTTGAATACAAGAAGCTTATAATCTAATCAAATAAGCCATAAACTAGTTTACATGCTTACCAAACACAACCTTAATGTGCAAATTGTCCTCAAAAAGGGATGTCAGTCAAACGATTCCAATTATATTGCAAGGACATCAAACACTAGATCATCTACTGTT